TTGAATGAGGCCCTCCCCAGATTTTTAAAATAGCTCTGTGACTCCCACAGAGAATGCATCCAAGTCTTCCTGATTTACCTACCTCAATTCTATGACTTAGAATTCTAGACTGAGTGAATAAAACGCATATATAAAAAACGTTAGTTTCCAAATTACCTTGGTTATATCTGTCTCTTACATATCGTGTCCTTCGAAGGAAGATTACCGCAGCCTTGGGACCTGGTGGCCACTGAAATACCCAGTCCTCCTTTTGGAATCCTAGCAAAATGGAACTCCCCTTCACTCACTGGAGATAAGGGAGGCTGAATCTGAGTTTTTAACCTTCTAGTCTCATAACACAGCCTTCTTTTCTACCCTGTCCTACTGCTTCCTCCTCCCTAAGCTTTCACTGACTGGTAGATAGGGTTTGGGAAGCCTTTTGTGTCAGTGAAGTGTATTCCGGGCTTAGCAAATTAGAGATGTGAATAGAAATCAGCTGCCACAATAGTGAGAGTCCAGCATGCTGAGAAGGCCTGGCGCTTGCCAGAGGTATGTGCTGGCTTTTTTCTTGGGAATGCTACTTTCATTTTTACTCTAGTCTTTTCATTCTCATCTACCTGTCATCTGAAATGGAAACTATCACAAGCTGCATTTAGCATAGGTTTTAAGAAATGGAAACAGGCACAGAGATCATAAAGTATAACATTTCCTGAAGTGTATTCTGCAGAACCCCGCCCCTGCAAGGTGCTTTCCAAAAAAGCCACCACTACCAAATGAACTTGGGAAACAGGGCACACTGCACCCCCTCCTGGAGTCTGAGCATACCAGACTCGGCATGACCTGAGTGAGGCAAGTGAACTATGTCCAACTCACAGGCTAGCTCTCGGAAGGGGGTTTGGGTCTCCTTTCCAGGCCACAGGATTTCTATGGGAAAATGGCTTGAATTTCAAATCTTTCTCTCTGTACACTAGAAGCATCGTAGACGTCATTGAATTTTCTTGATGATAGCAGATAAACATTTTGTGACCCAGGAAAGGTCTACCAGGGCAAAGTGGCAATAACTTTGCAAGTAAAAATGCATATGTACTCATAAATATCAGCTAAAAGATGAAATGTATACTTAAGGTATTCTTTTATTTTTCTCTTCTGTTCTTTCTTTCCGCCCCCGTTTCCTTTCTTCCTCTGACATTTGGACAGCCCAGGAGACTGACTCGCAACAAAAGAATTTTAAGGCTTCAAGACTGGACTAAATAGTGAACTGCCCTACACAAAGACACAAAATCCATGCTCAGAGAGGCTTTTTTTTTAGTGCCAGCAAAGCTTGTTGCATCTCAAAATTGCTCAAAGGCCCAGGTGAAGGCTGGTAGCCTTTGTTACTATTCTGGAAGTTAAACAAACTGTGTTCACTCAGAGAGGATTAAAATGGTAGACTTGTGGTGTAAGATGAAAATCCGTTGGAGCCGATACCAGAATCCTAAAATAGTGAATGCCTACATTAAATCTAATTATCTGGATGAAAAGATAAAAGATGAAGCAATTCTCTGCATGATTTCCAAATGGATTAGGGACATCATGTTGCTCCTCAAACTAAACAGTTGACGATTTTTTCCCCACATTTCACCTCAGTCAATAGTCTCATCACACACACACACACACACACACACACACAC